GTACAATGCAGAGTGAAAGAGAACCACAGCAGCTGAAAATGTTCCAACTTTAGACCCCAAACCAATTGAGTGTACCAGGTTAACAGATGTGATAAAACCCTTCGACCCTAGTCATCATAGTAAGACCAGTTTCTGTCGGAAGAAACCAGTAAGTGAAAGTTTAGTACATTCTATTAAGTGGAAGCAGAAATGAACAAGGCTGAGGTTTGCTGTCTGTTGCAGTTCCCAGGCTTGCAGGGAATTAGTTCTTGGCTGAGTCATCACAGCTGCTGGAGAATCTAACCAGCAGTGTCTAACACAGGGGTCACCAACTCCAGTCCTCGAGGGCTACCATCCTGTAACGTTTAGATGCGTCTCTGCTCAAACACACCTGGATCAAATAAACTGCTCGTTTCCACCATATTGCAGAGAGGAATGAATGCTGGTGAGGGAATTCAGACATTTTGGAGCAGAGGTGAATCTAAAAGTTGCAGGATGGTAGCCCTCGAGGACTGGAGTTGGTGACCCCTGGTCTAACAGAACAGAAACAAACATCTCAATGCATGTTTTGGAAAATGCATGTGATATATTGGGAAAGATTAGCAGCATAAGTGACCACATGGAGGTTGACTTCAACATATGACCGGAAGCCTTTTAAAACCAAAACTCCACTAAAAATCAGTCTCCACTAAGTACTGGTAATGTTGTCTAATGTAACCAGGAAGCACCCTCTGCTACCTTTGTTGCTTTAAAAGACTGTTATATGATCTAGTGTGAGTGATAACACCTCAGCTCTTCCTTTGCCTCTGTCAGTTGACAAACTGACTCTAGATGTCCTGGCTCCAGCGCAAAAGGCTGCTGCACAGTGTGTGACAATGATGGTAGAAATATTTATGAGGAAAAAATTTTTGGAAAGAGCCAGGGAACCTTAGTGGGTTTAGTTCAACCTACATGTCTTTAAGTCAAATCATTCCATGCTGGATCCAGTTATGTTACATCATACTTGAGATATAAATTGTTAGTCAGCAGTTTGGTGCTGACAGAATACCAGGTAGTGTGGTGGGAGGCATGTGTCTGCATATCTTTCTTCTGTTTATGCATCTTCCTCCTAATAATAGTGGCTCTTCACTTTTGTTCATTTTCACAACATAAGCTTTATTCTTAAAAACATGAGATTTTATCCAAGTCCTGTTAATTTTGTTAGTATGGTTTTGATGCGGGAATCAAATTATAGCACAAATAAAGCTCAAAAAGGCTGCGTTTACAGAAGGCTGACTTTAAAAAGGTTGGCTTCAAAACAGAAGCAGATGGTTATTCAAGTTCTTATTTTCACTCATCTGGGTTATTATATAATACTTTTCATAAGAATTAACTAAAAAAAAAAACAGAAGAGATCATATCATTCCTAATTGGTTGTTTGTGATGGACTGGTGACACCAGCCCCCCAGCATCGATGGATGGATGAATGGATAGATGGATAATATTGTATATTTGTTTAAATCCAGTTTTATGATCCAGTTTTATGATTTAAAACCTGATTTTAGTTACATCTAAATAGAAGGGGATGTAAAAATGCTGTTGTTTGAAAAATAGTTGTTTCCTCCTGACCTTCACCTGCTGAAGCCGTTCTAACAGAACCATAGGACCAAAGTTTGTCTGAAATTCTTTGTCCCAATGAATGGCTAGTGGTGCTTTTTCCAACCGGAAAATTACCCAGCAGTTTACTGCAAGTCCACACATGTTGTCTTGGGAATGTCAGACTGTTGCAATGAGGCTGTGTTGTGTTTACCTGTGTTGTTTCTCAGATAATTCCCATTTTCCAAAAGGAAAACACTAACTGCTGCCACACCAATAATCCTTTACGAACTGGTTTGGGTTTATAAAATGATTTTTCCTAACTTCCGGTCATCCAGCAACCCCGGCCCTGTACCCCATCTTCTAACATGATCACATGACGTAACCCCCCTAACGACCTGACGAATACATGGGCAGGCGAGTGGGCGGAGTCTTTCCTGTGGATATCAGAAGTGTTTCCTCCTCCACCTTGTCTGTGAACAGGTGAGCACAGGTGAGAGGGGAAGTCCTCCGTTCACCTTCAACAAAGAGCTTCAGTGCACTCGAGGACTGAAGGTAAATATCTGGAGCTTCTTTTTTTCCCCCTCTCTCTCTTTCTCTTTTACCTTCTTATTGTATTTTAGATAATCGTGTCAGCTGGCCAGACTTCTTACTTTATCCTGCTAGTTAATTATTTTTTGAACAATTTTTTGGATTATCTGTGCTGCGCACTGATTGCGTCACGCATGCCGCTATGTCGCCTTGTAAATGAAGCGACTGTACATGCTGGTGGCTTTGCGGGACGCGGTCACTGAGCTGAGCAGGTGTTGAAGCCTTGGATCCACCATCATCCGAGCTCTGCCGCGCTCTGAGCGCCGGTGGGCGGCCCCTGCTGGCGCACCACAGCTACAACTCAAGCTGCCTTTATGCGCAATAGGAAACCAGGCTTACGACCCCAGTCTTCAATAGACTGTAGACTGCCTCTCCTCTCACAGTTCGCTAGTGTGTCTTGTTTCCTTTTCATATGATTGGATAAGGTTTTTAGGAAAGAACGTTCTGTCTATCAGACAGACAGACAGAGAGAATCCAAGCCAGTCCTCTGTTTAACTATGATTACTGGTAAATTTGAAGAATTGAACATGATAAACAGGGATGCTGTGAAACAATAATTTTTATAGCAGCTCAGAAATTCTTCTTTCAACTCTCTTAACTTTCATAGAGTGACATCTGGTTTGTACCAGTGAGAGGATTCTACAATACAGAACATGATGTCCATCGATTTCCTGTCCCCATGTAATCCTGTCCCAGAGTCGGGGTATTTTAACCAGCAGGGGATTGGTTGCTGCTTAGTTTACATAATTAGACCAGTTGCAGGCAACTGTGGCTCAATAGGAAGAGTTACTACTGGAATCGTAAAGTTGAGGGTTGATTCCGGCTTCCTTCCAACACATCAGTGTGTTGCAACCCCATATTGCCGCTGATCTGAATGGCAATTCAGATCAGCGATGAAAAGAATTTCAGTTGATCAATATGACTATGAAAGATGCATCTGACCTTTAAATGTCTTTATGTATTGTAAGGTTAGATTTAATGTCTGTAGAAGCTGATGAAGAGCATCTGGGCCTGCTTTGCATGCACACAGCTTGCTTCAGCCCTGGAGGAAGAGCCAGTCCTTCAACACTCAGAGTAAAACATTCTGTAATTACTCCTCAGAGAAATTTGAAGTTTCCATTTAAACTCAAATGCTTAGAAAATGTCTTCAGGCTGAGAGGAATTCACAACTTCTAATTATTCAACTTACATTGAATAATGATAAGTTGAATAATTACAATTACAACCAATGGACTGTAGCCCAGATTTGCATTGTCTTATTTTACTGAAGCTCTGCTTTGTGTCTGATGGCACTCACAATAAAACAGGAGACAGAGACTTAGGTGATTCAGTCATTATTTTTTTTTACATTTGAGTTTGTGGAGGTTGATGGTGTGACTGGTTACTGCTGCTCCCAGCATCAGGGGTTGAGTATGGGTTTTATCAAAAAACTATCATGGCATGTTGAGTCATGTTGAGTATATTAAACTACTTACAATATCACCCCAACCACTTCAACATCATATTTAATTTTTTAATAACAGGAGGAAGCCTGTTGTTTTCTATCAGTTGGAAGTTATTAAATGAAATAAAAACAGTGAGAAGTTTAAGTCTTCCTGAATCTTGTGTCTTATCACAGGGCTGTTCAAGTTTCTCATTGTGAGGAACTTGAACAACCAACATATTCACACCAAATGCTGTGAAACTGTTTGGATCTGTGTTCTGATGCTGTGTTGGGCTGACCGGGATATTAAATGATCTTTGAACTGAACATATTAAGTGTTTTGAGATTATGTTTTGTTGTGACCCAATGCTAGCTTAATGACTAATCTGACTGAATTTTAAATGCTTGTTTAATTCTAATAGAAGCTAGTAGATTTAGTGATGGAGAGTTATTTATTGCTCAATGAAAGTGTTCCTTTATGCTGCCTTCTGCTCTCTGCTTCTTTATTTGACATGAATTTATTTTAAAATGATTAACTCAGGATATGGAGAGTGACATTCACCGCTCTTGGGAGACATTAGCTGACGTGTGAACAGTTTCTGAGACGTTGGAAGCCTCACAGCTCCGTCGTTCTTCTTTTCTCCCTTGGGAATTGAATGCAACACGTTTCTCGAGCGTTTCGGCACGATTTTCGCGGCGCTTCCCAGTGCAGTGTCAGTGCGCAGTAAATGTTGATTTATAGAACAGCGTCCTTCCATGCGGTTAGGAGGCGTGTTGGCCCGTAATGCCCGCATCCTGACAGATAATGGCATCCGGGCGCGTTTTCCTGAGCCGCGCATCATTCCCAGTGACCGTCTCCTGGAGATATGCAGCCTGCTGTGTTTAGATGCTGCCTCTCTGTCATTAATTGGAGCTTGTGGTGAAATCAAGCAGCAACTGGTTCTTCGGTTGTCTCCCCTCCGAGCTCCCGAAGAGATGGGAAGCTTTCCGTGCAGCCTCTCCACGCTGCAGCGCTGACGGCTGTGAGTGGATGCTGCTGCAGAGAGCCGGGGCTCCACTGATCTGTTGGGGAGTCTTCTCTCCAGCCAGTCCTCCTAATCCCAATGGAGCAGCAAGAGGAACAAGAAGTTGGGGGCTTGTCCCACCATGGCAGCAGCCAGGATCTTGGTAAGATGATTTCCCTTCATTTGCCGAGAGAAAAAAAAATCAGGCGCATGTTTCTGACCTTAAAGTTCATTCCTCTGATTCTAGACAAAGCTTAAGCTTTTTGCATCAGAGCAGCCATGAGGTCAAATTGTTCATGTTTTTACAAGATGTTGCTCATTTCTTCTATTGAGTATTAATAACATTCAGTTAATGTTTCTGCTGCAAAACTGCCCAACTACCATTGCATTCTAATGGCTTGTCTAGTTACGGTTTGGTCTAAATCCTGTGGTTTGTCTTCTGGAACCAGGGGTGAAAGTAAGCCAGTCCGGTCAGATAATGTCTGCTTACTCTCAGCTGCTCTGGGAACACCTGGGGATTCCCCTGGAGGAGCTGGAACAAGTGGCTGGGAAGAGGGAAGTCTGGGCCTCCCAGCTGAGGCTGATACCCCACCACCCAACCCCGGATATGTGGAAGAAAATGGATGGATGGATGGTTGCACTTTGCTTTTGGAGATGCAGAGAGAGTATTTAACGAGTTACTGACAATTTTTGTCATTGTACCAGAAATAATCTATAACTCCTTCCACCCCTCACTGGACCTGAATTCAGTTCAGCTGCAGGTCTTAATCCTGAAGGGATGCAGTAGTTAGAACTCATTATCCACCTTTCTTCAGAATTATTCTTCATGTTTGGAGCAAATACATGGCTTTGAATGACAGGCCACATATTTTCATGAGTAAATAACATTATTACCTCATCATGCAGACCAGACCCCCATTAGAGAAGTTGAAGTGATTCGATGCAGGCAGGTTTTTCCACTCTGCCTCCTGTTTAGTCTGATTTTATTTTTTCACACCCTATGCTGCTGTGCAGTTTACATAGACCCAATAATAATACACACACATTTTCCTCACTGTCTAATGTTAAATCAATTATTTTGTTTTAGGTCATTTAGAATCGTCAAAATTGTTTCCATTTGATAAATTCCACAATAATGACAATATGTCAGAATAAGTTATTAACGTCATAAGTTTATATCCAGAATGATTCTTGTCTCTTCCAAAAAAGAGCCCAGATGATGATGATGATGGTAATGCTTTGGGAACTTCTGACGGGTTCTGGTCTGAAAATTGAAACTTTGGAACTCGATCGCAGGACAAAAGCCAAAGATCTTGTGAAGATGCTGCCGAAGCTGTTAGGACAGTGAAACATGTTGTTACTGACAGACTGTTGGCCTAGGAAACGATATGCTAACTGTGAAGTGTGGCAGCATCATGCTTTGGGACTGTTTTGCAGCTGCAGGAACTGGTCCACTTCATAAAATAGATCATGAGGAAGGAATATTATGTAGAAATATTGAGGTAACATCTAAAGACATCAGTCAGGAGGTTGATGCTCGGGTCCAAATGAGTCCAGATAAACTATGACCCTCTTCAGGATAACAATGTTAATGTTTTGTTGTGGTCGTCACAAAGCCCTAAGATCAGGCCTAGAGAGAATTTGTGTGCGTCTGGGAGAAAACCCAGAAGAGTTGACCCAAGTCCTCCTGTTCAAAGGCATTCCTATAGTAAATAAATCTGACATGCACTCATAGCATTGTTGTGTCTTTTACAAATAGAAATCATTTTGGTGATTCTAACTGACCTGGAGCCAGAGAAGTTTGTTCTGATTTAACTTCCGACAGTGAGGAGATGAAGGAGAATGTGTGTTTTTTTTTTCTGCGCATGTAAACTTCTGGTTTCACTATGAGCTCTGTGGGCTCCGTCTCAGGCAGCTGTCTGGATGATGCTGGGATGTGAAAGTAACTTTGGTATATTGCAAAGCAGAAACGCCCTCTGTGGTCAGAGTTTGGTCCTACAGATACCCTCTTCCCATTTCTACCAGCCCACAGCGATCCCTCTGTGCTTTCTGTCCAGTCTCCTCCATCCCAACTCTTACTGTGTTCCTGACCATTGCAGAAATCTCTGCAGTATGACGTCTTCATGGCAGAGACAGTTAGCAGGCAGAGCACTGGTTGCATTTACTTATCAGAGCAACAAGGAAAGAACAGATTTGTCTTTTACATTTTTTTTTTTAAACCTATACTGATCAGGACCTGTATCGTCAAAATACCTGCTTATTGTAGTTCAGGTGTGTTGTCTGATGGCTTGACCATGATAGCTGCTAACTTCTCATTCTTCCTGTTGTGAGTGAACATAAAATGCAAACTCTATGAATCTGCCATGATGTCTGGGAGATAACATGAAACCAATAGCATTTTGTTGCTTTGGAGGATGATAGAGATGGAAGGAAGTTTGACTGACGCAGACTGCCCGGAATGTTGAAATGCATCTGTGTAACATGTTGAAATGCTATACACAGGTGCATTTTGCTTGAAAAATCAAATGTATTATCATTATATCTGAATATTCTGGCAATAATTTCCTTTTCTTAAATTAAAGAGTCAAAAATCTTCCAGACTGTAATTTTTGGTTTGATTGTACATAAAAATTTTACCTGCATATAATACAACCCCAAATCATATTTCCATATAACACTTTATTTCATTTTATTGAAATAAAGTGTTTTATCTGAAATAATGTCAAACTGGTGGCATGGTTTTCCTGTTTTATCCACAGTTTTAACTCCACACTGTTTTTTATGTTTAAGCAGTCATGAGGTGCGGTGGTGAAACCTGAAACTGCTGCTGTTTATTGAGCAGGTTGTTGCTAGGTAACCAAAGAGTGAGTGATTTCGTTATTGCCTTTCTTAGCTGGTTGTTAGAGGTTGAGCCTTTCCTCTGCCTACATCACCCACAATGCTGTGAGATTCTGGATCGGAATTCAGTGAAATTATTTAAAATTCTACCAGATGTATTATCTATTGATATTCATGATGTCTGTTGCGATACATTGTTGTAGATGTATTGTCCATCCCTAATAGAAACACAGCAGCTTATTTATCTGTTAGACCAGTTCATTTATAATCTGGTAAAATGTACAGAAAGTTAATCAAATATTACATAAGAACAATTCAACCTGAAAAAACCAAAGAGATCTGTTGTGGTATTACTGATGTGGAAAATGACATATAAAGGCTGCTTCAGTAAACATGAACAAACTTGCCATGTGACATCAAGCCCGTCTTCTCAGGAATTTGGATCAGATTAAGTCTTTGTCATGGTTGCTGCACAGATTCTATCAGGCAGAATCCTGTCTGAGCAAGTGACACAGGACACATCAAGGGACGTTAGCTTAAAATATACTGTAACCCTAAACAGAGCTGTAAAGAACATATACTTAAAAATAATATATCTTTCTGCTCCTTTATTTCCACTTTTAGTATCTACTTAGTATTTTATTGTCATTAAATAGTAGCTGCCTTAAACAAAAAACCTCCAAAGTGGTCAGTGTAAAATTTCTCACTTGCTCATATCTCAAAGCAAAAACTTTGCTAACTTGGAACGTTTCTTCCGACAAAGGGAGAATATTTCAGGTGCAGCAGCACCGAAAACTATTCCAATTCCAGTGAATGTTAGGCTACTTGACATGATACGAACATGCAGCTGCTTGCAACACAGCAGCATCACACAACCAATATTCAAATTTAGTTCAAAAATACTTTATTCCAAAGGGAAATTATTGTTGAAATTCATAAAATTCACAGATCTTCGGAGTCCCTGTGGATGGTGACGTTGTGGAAAGGAAGGATCTCCAGTAGCAGTCAGTATAGCAACAAAACGAAAAGGCCTCTAACTGAAGACTGTTGCTATATGTTGACATGCTGAGAGACATTGGAGTCTGGGATATGATCCTTGATTATCATGATGGAGGGAAGAGTTGCTGTGAAAACTTCCTCTGTCTCTCTCTCTGGTCCTGCTCTGTTTCCAAGAAGCCTCAAATTCAATTCTTCTGGAATTTGGGGTCAAAGTTCAGGTTTAATTTAAGCTTTTGAGATGATGATTAGCTGCTCCCAGTTGTAAAAACGATACACTGTTGCTATATTTACACATCAAATGTTTTGCTTTACATTTTTTACTCGGAAAGTAAAAAAGTGAAAACAAAAATCCTTCAGGAGGAAATACTGTCGATACATGCAGCACCTCAAACAAAAAAATTATAAACCAAAGAACAAATGCTTCATAATTTCAGGATACTCCATCCTTTCTGATTAAATTGAATTGAATTTGTTCACAACCATAGAAATTAAAATGTATATTACGCCAATTCACAATAAATCTCGTCTCAAGGTACTTTACAAAAAAGAAAATTCAAGCTAGCGGTTCTTTTTATGTTTGTGGGTCAGTAGGTGCTGGAGTTTGAACAATAAACCCTTCAGCACTTAGTTTGTGTTTTACTTTGGAAAAGAAAACCTCAGTGGTGGGAATAGACTCCTTGCTCCATTTTTCCTACTGGGAATATCCTTTTCGATCTGAAAAGGATGTTCACCTTGTTTGGTTGCATCAGGTGGTGTAAGACTGCTCTCTTCCTTTGAATATCTTCTGCTTCTGAAGAGGTCTCATGGGGTCAGATATTTATTTTTTTTTTTCAAACTGAATTTAGCGTTGATTTGGAAAAAATGACAGTTACGGAGCGTCGAATGGTGCAAAGATGAGAGCAGTGCCCCGTATACAGAGGCTACAGACCTCGATAAGGCTGTCCTATCAAATAAAGGCCACTAGTGCCAAAAAATTCTAAAACAAGAAAAACATTGTTATAGGCTTCCTTAACTATTGTTGTGCTCTTGTATAACTGAAAACAACCAAACAAGTTAAAATATGACTAATAAACTTAATTAGCATTGGAGATTGAATCATTTTATGTGCATCTTTGTCGAAGTGACAAGACTTATTTCCAGTTTTTTAGTCCCTGTGTGTGTTATGCTGTCTGTCCTGTAAGTAAACACAATGATGGGCATCAGTGGTGGAGATTGTCTTCTGGCTACTCTGCCTTCCTGTCTTTCTCCAATATCTGCATGATGGCCGGATTGATTGGTTGTAGTATTGAGTGTGACCTGTGGTGAACTGGAGATCCTATAAGACTCTTCCACATCTTTTTGCCTAATAGACCTGCTGAAGGACCTTCAGTGTAGAGAGTACAGGAAGATGGAGACAGACTGCAGGCTTTGGGATGGAGTCGCAGCTCACTACTATCTACTGGTGCATGGTATTGGGATGTTCTTGAGCATATGACAGTTATAGTTGTACGTAATTTATTTTATTGATAGAGATGAATAAATTTGGTTTTTCACTCTTATCACTCATATTCCATTTTTGAATAAGTTGGCTATTAGATACCCAACAGCTTTTGGCTTAGTGACTCTTTAAATTGTTGCATAGCTTTAACAAAAAAAAAGAGAACGTTGGCATCAGCCCTTCATGAGCAGCTTCTTTATTCTCAGGTTCCCCCTTGAAAGACATTGCATTTTTACTGAAGTTGAGCCTGAAATTTGTGAAGTACTAACAATAGTAATAATAATTAGGAAGTCTGTTTCAATGCACAAATAATGTAAAAATGCCAGTGGCTCCCAAAACTGAGTCAGATACCTTCTTTTTACTGCAGGGATTTTTTCCATGAAACATTATGTCCATCATGTTGGGGCAGGAGCATCAGAGCCGGTGGCTTTAAGAAGCAGCTGATGGGGAAGCTGGTTCTGTTTGAAACTGCCTCTGATACCTTCATTGACTCTGGAAGAAACTTAACTAGTTTCTTCCCTTAGGAAGAAAAAGTATTTGGCATTAAATTGAATTGAATTTACATTTATTTGGTACATGATTGAGCACAACTTTAGGTCTTAATGACCACAGTCAAGAATCATCACCAGGGATAAAAAAAACACAAGAATGCCCAGAGTTATTGTAGATGGTGATGGCTGTGTGACGGTCTGTTTTACAGCAAGTTTGAAAGATTAATTTGTTCAGAATTTGTTAGGTTAATTGAATACTCGAAATTGGTATTAGATGGTATTAGCAGTCATGTCCGACTGTGGTACCATCATCAGTCGGACAGATGATTTTAGCAAATAATGTGGAAATTTCCTAATGCTTCCGCATGTCTGAGTCTTCCAAATGTTAAGGTATGGAATCGTTTCCAGAATTTAACCCAGGTCGTGGTCTGGAATAAACAGCTTCTGAGAGTCAGCTGTAGGAAATACTGATTTAATGGGGGGTTGTGAATCTTCTTGAGACGTGTAGTTAATCTAATCCAAGCTTTTAATGCTATCTGTTCAGACATGCATTGAGAGCATGAACTACTAAGGCATGGAATTATTAGAATAGCCACAACCTAGCCAATGAGCACAACTTATTTTCAAACCATAAACCTCTACAGATTTGCTGTGATATCTGATGTAAAGCATTTGATCTATTAAATTCAGCAGTGTTGGGATTAGACTTCATCAGTGAACAGATGCATGATTAGGCTGAAATCTGGATGATTTGAAGCTGAGACAACACCCCAAACTTATTAGTCTGTTCATCAAACCATTCTTAAAGCCTCTTATGTGGCAGCGATCATTATCTTGCTGAAAGAAGACACTGATGGTTGCAGGGATTTAAGGAGTGCGAAGAGTCAGCAGCAACCTTCAGCTGGATAGCTTTGGATATTCTGCTATAAGCTATTAGCTGTTAGCTACAACACCACCAATTGGCCCAGCATACCTACTACACCTTTGTCTGTGGTTTTGCAAAACCATATTACACACAATTTTTCTACTATTTATCCTTGCTGATTTACAAATCAAGACTTCTTTTGCTGAAAATGTGTAAAATATCATTCATGTCACATTTTGGTTTGTGGAGGACTTCTTCAGTCTTAAACTGAGGAGAGCAGGAAGCTATGATTTGATTTATTGTCTTCTGCACTTCCACAATTTTTATCATTTCTAAATTCATTGTTTGTTCTTCTGTTAGGTTCTCCACCCATCTCCTCTTTTGAGCCTGGAGAAAGCGCTCAGCAGGAGGAAGGTACAGTGATGAGGAGGAGTGAGAACTACCTACCAGTTCCTGGTGAGGACAAAAACCTGGATGGAGACTTCAATGGGAAGACCAGGAATGATGAGTCCATGGTAAGACTCTTCTGGAATCCTGTAGGCCAGGAGTTTAACTCTGGAAGGTTTCAGACTCATCTAGAAGGTCCATGTGGTTTAACACCGTACCAGGTTAGGACTGCGTCTTGTGTTGGACTGTAGGTGTAAAGTTCTGGTAAACAGAACTGTCTGCGGGGCTTGATAGGCTTAGAGGGTGTGAGATAATTAGAATGAAAACGGATTTAATGATGATTCATGTCAAAGTCATTCGACATGCATCGCTGTGCATAAAACACTGCTACAGATTAGTTTCTTTATTATTTAATTTTTCCTGGCCTGTATATTGATACAAAATCTGACTGTGGTACAATCTGCTTTGCACATTAGTGCCAGGATGAAACTAAACTTGACGTCAGTGTTTAAGACACCTTTAGGATTTTTCTGTAGTTTACTGTTAATTGTACTCACTGGTGGAAACTAAGAATTAATGTAGCTGAGAATTCTCTGGTTCCAGGCTCAAAGGGAAAGCCTGTTTCCAGCTGTAAACCTGCTCAACCAAAATAAAGGCATCTTTCTTTTCAGCTTGTTGGGTGTGACATTTAAATGTTAGACATGAGTATTTTTGATCCTGAAAAAAGAGGCTTACTGTACCAGATAAAATGGCACATCTGTCACTGAGACTTTTGGATTATCTAATGTGACATGGTCACATTTGCAGCAGCTGTTTTAAAATTATATCATTATTGTATGTTTTGATGAATGAACTGTTGTAAAGTGTGGTAGATTGTACCTCATCATAAAGTCTCCACATATCAATGGTGACAAATGGACCATTGTTCTCCCACTATTCATATATTAAGTATATGAATAGTGGGAGAACAATGGTCCATTTGTCACC